AGCAAAATTTAAAAATCTGGCTGTACTAAGTGTTGGGAAAGCTGTAGAGCAACAGAAACTGAAAAGCTATTTTGGTGGAAGTATGAGTTTAGCATATCTACTGTGCAAATTTGTTATTGTCTCATGAATTTGAATATATGCAGACCCTAAGATTTTGCAGTTCTCTTCCTAGCAGAGTAACTCAGGAGAATCTATTGAACATATTCAGATCAATATGAACTATATTCATACCATTGTCTGTAATTGCAAAACAAAAGAAAACAAAATAGACTGAAAATTTTAAAATAGCCCGAATAGGTTTTTTAGTAAGTTGGGTAACATTCATTATGACATGAATCTATAAAATGGGGAGAAAAGAGACTCACTGAGTGAGATCATTTATATAAAGTTCAAAAATGTCTATTAAGACACTATTTTAAAAGAGTCTTTTCATAGGTGGCAAAACCAGGAAAAAAAACATGGAATGAAAAACTCAAAGTTCAGGGTTGCATTTACCCCTGGTGGTAAGTAGAGGCAAATAAATCTAATCTGAAAGGAAGAACTGAAGAGATTTCTTTATTTGTAAACTTAGTGATGAGTACACAGGTATTTAAAAAGCTTTTGTTCTCAATGCTTTTCATATGTTGTATCTATTCCCTTGTAATGAAGCAAGCATTGAATGATAATGAAAAGCAAGACAAAGCCAGAATTGTACCGAATTGCTAATTTTATATTTTCAAGATATACTTAACTTTTTCTTCTCTAAAAAAGAAAGGTTAATGTTGGGGACTGCTTATCTGACTTTGCTAGTCAGGTCACCTTTCCTAATGATTAAGGGCCAGCTGGCTTCCAGTGTTTCATCTGGGCAGAATGGGACAGTGGGGACCAGGGACAGCACAGAGGAGGGAGGAGGCTCTGGAGGCAGGCTGATATAGCTGGTGTAGGGTCATTTGAGTTTCCCAGCTTAAAGAAGAACAAGCATTGTCTTTGGCATAGGACAGAGTGTGGTTAAATTCCTCCCTGCCTCCTTAGCATTCAGCAAGTGATTCCTTGCTGTCTTTGTATATCCCAGTCATCTGGGCTTACAGGGACACTGTGTAGTGGTTTTGTGGTGGAGAAACTATTGCTACCTAATTTTTAATTTCTTGAAAATCACTTTGTAGTGTCATGATTACATGACTTGGAAGAAGATAAACTCTCTGTCCATTCCAAGTATAAATGGGCACTTGAGATGAAACCATCTAGTTAATTTCCCCTTGTTGCTGGAGTAGAATCTGAATCCAAACCACAGCACCACCTCGCCCCTAAATCTCTATTAAAAACCACCTTGGGTAGTCTGGCAATGCTTTATTTAAAGTCAGCAGAGAATTATAAAGTCAAAAGTGAAAAATGGTACAACAAGAAAGAATCATAAAAAAATACTAGATCAGTTAAATGTAGTCAAAGGCAATTTAGTGTGTTCTGGCAGCAGTCCTTATTGATGCAAAGAATGTGATGTGTCAGGGGTCGGCAAGTGCACGTAGGAAATGCAGAATGAAGGATGCAACTCCATGCTCGATGCTGGAGCAGCCACATGAGGCTGTGAAGGATGCCTCACTGTCTTGCTTTTTCATCAGGAATTTCAGGGAGAATATTCTAATTCTCCCAGTCTGGACATCTTTTTTTTTTTCCCCTTGATGTAGCAAATTTTTAAAATTATTTCTTTCATGGAAATAAGCTAATATTTCAGGAAGAATATTCTAATTCTCCCAGTCTGGACATCTTTTTGTTTTTCCTTGATGTAGTAAATTTTTAAAATTAGTTTTTTTTTTTTTTTCTTTCATGGAAATAAGCTAACCTAGACGCTTTGTAGATTGGGTCAGACCTGGAAGGTAGCTATCTCTCACCAGTACATTTTAGTATCTGAGCATTCTAGTCTCTTAGGGGTCCCCACACTGGTCTGCTTTTTCATATCTACATTCCAAGTTGTGATCATTTCTGCCTCTTCTTCTTTAGCTGCCTTAGTTTGTATTAGCTAATCAGATTAGTAATAACCATAGCTATGATTATTAAGCAACTACCATGTTTTAGGCACTGTGCTGGGTCCTGCATATGCATTATCTCACCAATTCTCACAAAAGCTTCCTAAGATAGGTCTTAGTATCGTAGTGATTTTACAGAAGAGAACAACTAAGGTTCAGAGACTCAGAACTCCTTTGAGGTTACACATTGAGTAGCAGAAACAAGACTCACCAAGCCTGGTGCCTAAGTGGGTGTTATGCTAGAAAGGTTGCTTTTCTTATCTCATCAGGAGTTGTGGGTGGGGACCAATAATTCTAGAGAGCATAGCTGCAGTAGAGGATCCTATCTTGGATTTGCCACTTACTGGCTTTTTGACCTTGGGCAAGTTACTTGACTCTTGGTCTCTGTAACTGGACCTAACAGAACACCTATTTTAGTAGTGTTGTTGTGAGGATCTTAGGAGTTGATATAAGTGAAGTATTTCAGAGAGTTCCTGGCCCATAGTAAGTACTTGTATACATGTTACTGTTGGTATTGCTCCTGCTTCTATTATTATTATTATTATTATTATTATCCATGTTGATACTATTGTCGTTTTTGATGTTTCTGGAGACAGAATGCCTTCACTGAAAAAAGTACCTATGTGGGGCCTGCTGTGGGTAGGGCCATATCCACTTTTGGTACATCCATTTGTCACAAAAGAAGATGAGGCAGAAATGATCACAACTTGGAAATGAGAAACCCAGATTCCTTGGGTACTTCCACTTGCAAAATGAGGTTCTAGGGTACCTCTTTCCCATCCACAAATTCACTTCTAGGAGAGAAAGAAGAAGGTTTGGTGACTCTTCTGGTAGGTCTTATCAGGGTCTTGGTTGTAGATTCAGGAGGAATGATTGGGTTGATGTAAATGCTTTAGAGGGTCTGAAAGAGATTAGAGAAACCTATTCCAAAGGATAGAGGCAGGACAGGAGGGAACCATTAATCTCGCGGACATTCAATTCCCTAAGAACTTTTTTGGGAATGACCAGAAACAAGCCAGGCCATATGCTGTCCATTTGCAATCCACTGAGCTGTGGGCTTTTTTATTTTTTCTTCGACAGATCGAGGCCAATGCCATTGCCTCATTTAAGATGGTTCTTAAACTTGAAAAGGAACTGAAAGGTTGAGACATGCATGCAGAGTCAACACAGATGATTTGATGAAAGTAGTCCTGTCAAACACCAGGGCTCTCCCGACTGTCAAAAACAGTCTGATGACATATTCGAAGCCTCCCAGACTGGCTTGCATTTTAGGAAATATGCACAATCAGGGAAGACATAGTTATGCTGTGGAGAGTTCTGAGATGTGGAGAGAACAAGTTAATTGTTCAGCCTCAACTGAGACCTTTCACTCAAGCCATTAATCACAGTGCACAGCCTAGGCTGCTGTCCGCTCCAGATGAAGGCTCATTCCAGGTGCTGGCCATTTGCGTTTTCCTCCAACTGGGCTGATTTATGAACCCAGAGATGTTTCCTGGTTTTTCCAAATTCTTTCCCATTACTTTGTAATAAAGGGGACATGTGATTTCTGGTTTTCTGCAGATCCTCTGTTTTAACATCCCTAATAACAAAGATTTTTTCAATTAGTTTGTGGCCTGCTTTCTGTGATCTGGAAGGTAGAAATGGTGTTCTGTGTTTTGAGTATTAAAGTTAAGAACTTTAGAGAGACTCTTATTTATTTCCCGTTTGGCTGGAGTTGACAATGCAAAAGTACTGCGTGAGTCTTTGTGCCCACATTCAACATCTTGATGCAAATTAAGGCTTAGTAACCTTAGTGACAGCAACTCACCACAGGTGTTAGAGTTATCCTCATCCCACTCCAGTGCCTATGGTTTGGAGTATAATATCAGGGGGCCTTCTGCATTTGGGCCAGGTCTCCGGTGACAGTGTAAGCCAATATTGAAGACTTCACAAGAGAATCTGAGTGTCCGAGAGGGACACTATAATATTGAGGCTGTACTGGGTGCTGCCGAGTGTTACCTGTTTGAAAACTAAGCCTGATCTTAGCTGATAAGGGACAACAGATCTCTTGGGAGTTTTCCCAAGTGGCTGAAATGTGTTACAGAAAAGTAATTGGAAATTGATATTTGACATGTCTCTTGGTTACTTTTTATTCCTGATAACACCAAAGGGTTTGGCCAGGAGTCACTAGTGACTAATACGTGAAATTCTGCAGTCTATTGCTGAAATGCAATCTTTTCTTGAAAGTAAGCAGCTGCTTTCTTGAGCCTTTGCTTCCTAACTAGCACTTCAAGTGTAGAGACCCAGGGGCTTAATTTGGGTGAAATGAGTGGTGAATACAGCCTTTTGATAATTCTCTGAAACAAAATCATCACTGACAAGGGAATGCTGTCCTTAAAATGCAACTCAATTTAACAGGTTCTTATTCAGAGCCTGCTATAGGCTCTACATTGTGTTGTGTGCTGTGGGACGTACAAAACAAATGTCAAACATGGCCTTTGCCCTTGAAGAACTTACAGGCTCTTAGGAAGGATGATGTGTTTATGAAACACATTTTACATGGCAAGATAAGATATCATGTATGTGCCAAAGTGAGTGGAATCTGTAATAAGTATAACAGGGAGTCAGAAAAAAAAAGAGAGTAGGGGAGACTGGGGTTGTCAAGGAAGCTTTATGGATGAGGTGGGACAAAGACACCAATATTTCAAACCCAGAACTCTACCTTAAAAGAAAGAGCAAGGAGCACAGTATCAGATTCCTTAAAGATTATGGAGTCTTCTTTAAGTGAAAGTAAATTTGTTCAATATGAGAATGGATTAATTTAGTTCAATAAATATTTATTGAGTACATCTATGTGCCAACAACTGTATCCAATGAGGTAGGGGAAGGATAATTCATACAAAAAAACATGTCTGGGTATCTACCCTCTCTTAATGTAGATATTTAAAGCTATTGCTGCTCTGTGTGATTCCAAAACCTGTGGTTTTTACCACTTACCATTCTGTCTCTCAAATTGACCTCATGCTTGCTTCAACAGTACATATCCTAAAATAGGAACGATACAGCGAAGATTAGCATCGTTCCTGTGCAAGGATGGCATGCAAATTCAAGAAACATTCTATATTTTAAAAAAAATAGACCTTCTTCTTATCCAGGATATCTTTGAGTTGAGAAGCTTAGTGTAACTTTTTGTGTAGAGGACAGAATGACATGTCCAACGTCATAATTTATATGCAGTGTAAACAGTTGCATACATGCTTGTCATGAAAGGAAGACACACTGAGTTAGTGGAATATGGTCCCAAATTGTTAGGTTAGAGAGTATTTGGAATAGCATTTGAGAAGTCTGCTCCTGGCTCAAATTCAGGCCCATAAGTAGAGCCCAAGCACTCTGAAGATCAAGTTTTTCTTGGAATTTTCATTATTACCCTTGACAGCTACTGTGGAAACCCAATTAGTAGGGTCTTCCATCAGTAGAGTTTGAGACAATCTTACATTGGCTCTTTGGCGTTTGTGAAGTTTGAAATTGGCACCATCCAGATATATTGGTTAAGTCACTAAAAACTATCTCTCTTCTTCCTTTCAAACAGGGGAAATCAATTTTTTTTATCATCTCTTAAGGTACAGGTGTAACTGGGAAACTGTAAATTGTTCTAGAGAGAAAAGATGTCAGGATGATAATAGCAGTGGCATTGGTGGTTATCATGGACATGGTAGTCATTATTCTAAGTATCCACATAACTTTTAAGTAATAGAACCATGGAACACTAGTAAACCCTGGAAAGAATCTAAGATATCAAGCACTGAGGAGCAGAGGTGTCAGAGTTTATTTAGCTAAGCAATACCAGAAGAAGACTAGAAAATCCCCCTTACTAGCTAGCAATCATTCTCATACCACAATGAGACCTCTACTTGGTAACCCCTGCATATCAGCCACCCATGTGACTGCTTTTTGAAGCTAATTTAGGTATCAGATTAAATGGAATTCTGAGAAAACTTTTTTTTTTTTTTGGCCTGGAGGGAGTAGTGGAAGGAAAAGCTAGAAGAAATTTGAAATCACTTTTGATTCCTCTCATTTTCCTTAGCATTTAATCACACTCTTCTGTTGAAAGGTTCGTCTTGGCCTCAATGAGTAGACATATACACATGTCCTCACTCGTTCATCTATATGCACGTGTATATATTGATATGCATTCCTCTTCATCATCTGCAGGCATTTTATAAATAATGGCTTGTGTGTGTGTTTTATCATCTTATTTTTTAAATGAAAATGACAACTTCAAAAATTTTTCAGAAATAGTTCTTCAATGGTAAAGAAATTCCAGCATGTAGGCTAGGGTCATCTTTGGGTTACAAAATTCCACAGAGGAGTTGGCATGGGGAGAGTATAGGCACTGTGGCTTTGGAATTTTTGCCTTTCCATTTGGGGGCAGACAAGCAAAGGTGGTAATAAAAAAGTTGAATTAGTGGAGAACTAGTGTAGTAAAAAGTGAAATAGAAGAAAGGTAGAACAAAGTTAGAGTGCAAGCAACAAAGTTAGTGTAGATAGAGGCAAGAGGAGGTATGAATATGCTCCACCCCTCACCCAAACTCGTTCTCCTCTCCGAGTTATTACTTGGGCTCAGGATGGAGTTGAGATTATAAAAGGAGTTTGGACTTGTAAGTTGTAAATTTTGTTGTTGATGAAGCTGTTTTGGAAGCTTTCTTCTTGAATAGAGCCTGGGAAATTTTATATAGTAAGAAGGATCAGGTGGAGCTCAGAAGAGAGGAGATAGACCATTTACAGGCTGATTTAGATTTTGGGTTTAAGGGTGAGAAAACACTTTCAGATTTCCATAAATCAAGGAGACAAGTCAGCAGAATCAAAATATGGCTCAGGCTCTACTCCTCAAGTTATGTGTCAGTAAATGCATCCACCCAGTGTGGCATCTTTTTCTAATTCAACCAGAGCACTCTCCAGAATAGTATAGTCCCTGGATACGGGAATTTTCAGTTTTCCTATAAGTTGTCCCCATTCATTCATGTACCTAGGGAAGGAACAGAGATTTAAAGCTGAAGTTCCTGAGAAAAGCTCTTTTTTTTTTTTAATGTTTTATTTAATTCTGAGAAAGAGAGACAGCGTGAGCAGTGGAGGGTCAGAGAGAGAGAGACACAGAATCCGAAACAGGCTCCAGGCCCTGAGCTGTCAACACAGAGCCCAATGCGGGGCTCGAATCCATGAACTGTGAGATCATGATCTGAGCCGACGTCAGACGCTTAACCAACGAGCCACCTAGGAGCCCCAGAAAAGCACTTTTTAATGTACTTTTCTTGGGTAGCTGAATGTAGACAGTAAGAAAACCTGGTGGCTCATGGAGCAGACTAGCTGCAGAGATCACTTTCTCCAGCAGTCAGGGAAGTTTAAAAGGGAAGTGACCCAATAGAGTCTTGGATTTCATACTTTTAAGAAGGGAGCCACAAAGCTCAGGATGTAGACACCTAAATTTCCAGATTCTCTCACCTCTAATTTCCTTTGGAAATGCTATGAGCAAGCATCTGGCTTTAGTGGTTCCTTCTTTCTTTGTTCATAAACTCCTTGTCATAATTATTGTGCAGGTCCTTGTCCTTGGTGCCATATTGCCATGGTGGGGGCAGGGGGGACAGTGAGGCCTCTGGAAGAACGTAATAACTTTGAGGAGCATAAAGGTCATTGTGAAACCAGGAAGACAAGCATGATTGTACTAACTGAAGTGTGTTACAAAGCCTATTTGACAACAGCTATGGGATATTGAAAAATCGGAGACCGCCATCACATATGGACGGGTCTTCCCATATTCACCTCACTGGCTGTTTCTTCTTATTGAAGAATGAAAACAGTAAATGGCCTAAAGCAAGCTAAAAGCAAATCCCTTGACTTTGTGCATTTCATGACTGCAATACTTGGTGGTAATATTAGTAAAGGCCCTGGTAGTACTCATAGGAGAAATGCCAGAAAAGAAGCAACTGAATGTTCATTCACCTGCTTTAAGATCTTTTAGAAAAAAAAAAACATGATTTATGAAAGAATGAGAATCATAATTGTCAGCCAAGGTGTCATTTTAACTTTAGGATGTCCAGAAACAAAGAGATATTATATCCTTTGTTCTCAGAGCACCACAGATGCCAAATTATGCACAGGGTTCCCTCTTGGCAATGAGTGCTTTGGAGCCTAGAGGCAACCAGTGATTTCAGAAAGATGTTGCCTCTGGTGGTGTCCTCACCTGAATATCTCCCTGGAGCTATGGGAGAGAGCATGGCCCTCCTAGCTTCTTTGCATTCTGATAGAGCAGGCATTAGCAAGACAGACAGAAATCTGAGAAATGGCTTGTGGCTTGAGGTAAACCGTCCCCAGCCTCACTCTAGGGAGCTTGACAAGAGTACCATTAATGTACTGGAGAAATAATTCATTACTTTTGGTTTTGTTGGTACATCAACATATGCCAACAGATGCTCAATTCAAAACATGAATATTTGATTAATGTAAGATCAGGCATCTGGAACAGAGAGCAGTGGAATTTTGGGGACTTGAGTAAGACTCAAATGTCATCCATTCTAACCACAGCTGTCCGAATGCGCATAGTAGGCATTGAAAATAGTTGATGATTAGGTTTTCTTTGATTTGAACAACTTGGTTGCTTGGTTTTGAACCCAGATGTTCAGCATCTAGCCAGAGTTGTATGCTCTGCATGCTGTCATCAGCCTCACCACCACAGAGGTGCGTTGTCAAAGGGTGGCATTCTTCCCATCCCCGTGGTGAGGTCCCTTCTCTCTTCTGTATCAACCCATGCATACTGGCTATAGGCCACAGAACACACTGCAGATGGCCCATGGAGCTGTTCTCCACACCTCCATTTTCCCCAGTGTCATTGTGGTTGTATCTTATGACAGAGAACATTGGCATCTCCACTAACAGACCACAGCAGTGTTGGTGACAGGTACTTGAGCAGCTGTTTACTCATCCATTCTACTGGTCATTGCAAAAGTATTAACTTAAAGGCCTATTAGTTCATAGAACTGACCTGAAACCTGAGGAGGAAATATGACAAAGCCATGGGAAAGGAGGAAGAATTTTAAAATATGGGTGGGATATGCAACATTTATTAATTCCTAGAGAACAATGACAAGACAGGGTAGTTATAAGAAAGGGCAATTCCTGATTGCATTAATGCTGATAGCATGCACAACAGAGGGGATGGAACACTATATGGTACGGTGGATATATCATCTGCAGGTCAGCATTTCAGATTTGCCTCATAACTCCAGCATTTAGCTTTAATCTAGGGCCTCAGTTCTGTAACATAAAGTGAATGTCCCAGGATATTCTTCAATACTATCCTTCTTTGACACTTTGATCAGAAATTATGAAATCCTCATTTCTCCATAATTTAATGTCTCCCAAATATCTAGGATTTATTTACTTTTATAGTCAAGTAGACCTCTAATATTCTAAGGACACTAGAAATGGAAAGTAGTGAAAGAAGGTATAGACTATGCCTTAATATCCTGGGAGGAAGACAGCAGCCTTTGAAGAGCTATGAAACTCACTTTAGATAAAACATAAATAAATACATATTTTTTTATGGTTGGCAGTGGAGGTCTCATTCCAAGTGAAATAGTGGCAAGTTTTATCTTTCTTCTTGAAGCATGTTCTTGGCTCAGTTATTGGTTTACATGGTGTTGGTATGACAACTTTGTTAGCAGGTACCAAATGACCTCTGTGGCTATCGGTAAAAGGTGTTTCTCTTCAGCCCATCCAAGAAATATGGACTATATTTTTGTGGATGGCTGAGAAGCTAGAGCTAAGATAACTAATCTGTAGTTGAACCCAACAAGTAGTGGAGGTGGAAGTTAGAATCCCATCAGACTGAAACAGTTTCACAACACAGGGAGTTTCTCATCTTTTCAGACCCCATTGAAGGTAGATTAGTGGGTTCCCTATATAAAAGGCAAAGCTCAGAAGTCACTTAGAGACCTCTCACTTCTGCATAGTAATTTATAGTTTACTGACCTATAAACCAATTGGCCACTTATTAGTCAGATTGTTTTATCCCCACAATAATCTTGTGAGGTCATACTATGTCTCTATCTTATAATAATACTATGAGGTAAGG